GAATATCCTCCCCACATGTCGTCGCCCGTACCTTCTCGGAAACGCTGTACTGCTACAGCATTGGGTGCCACCACATGGAATCGGAGGGCGTTGGAAAAACTCTCGCCTACTTGGAATGGAAGGGCGTTGAGTACCTAAAGGAGATGGAATATCCAAGTAGGTCACCTGACCTGAATCCCTCAATTACCCGGTTCGGGCGGAGTTCAATAGGGTGGTCTACGGTGGCGGAGAAATCGACTATCTCGCTGATCTCCACATCGCGGTCGCGTGCCAGAATCTCTCGATGGCTCGTCCAGAAGGCTGTGGCGAAGTGCCATGATAGTACTGGATATGCTCTTCAATATGGTGGAAATGTCCGATCAGAATTTAATAAAGTGTAACTTATAGCGCCTCGAAAGTCAATGAAGAAAAGTGACTTTTTTTGGCCCCTGTATATGTATATAATACATATGAAACAGGAAAACCCACGGGAAATCAACAACATTTCTCAAAAAGCCAGAAGCCAAATACGACCACCCCCTTTGCAGCGTCTCTGAAACAAGAAAAATCAGCAATCAAAAAATTTTCTTTCAGACCAAATACGACGCCCTACCCCCCCCGCAACTAAATACGACCCCCTCTTGGGGAATCCCCAACAACGATGTGCCCTGTTGTCAAATACGATATGCCTACACAATGACGTTCGTGGATCAGCCGATGCTCAAGCCGATCTTTTTATCCTACCAGACGAGCCCCTAAGTCACCGTTCTCCAAGCGTAAGAAGACCAGGTTGGCCTGGATTGAGCACCGATATTTGGCCGCAGGACCGTGCGTGCAAAACGAGTCAGTTGTCACTACACGAACCGCCTTGAAATTCATAAGAATGAGAGCCCAATAAGTCCGGCTACATGACTCCCGCAAGGAGCTATAAGAAGCCAAAGTCGGCAGCCTGGTTGAATACACCCCCGTGAATGCCTGTACCTTGTATGAATGTTCCGTTTCCTTCCAAGCGAGCAGGATATCCTTTTCACAGAGCAGGAGCACCAGTTCTCAGCAAATCGAGACGCCAGATCGCACCTGTGTCACCAGAGCTTTGCATCAGTGCAAACTTTGACTGCTCATACCTCGCTTTTATTTAATATGCGAGCGGCAATTTCAATTTCCACCTTTGCAATTAGAGTTTTAAAGCTTACATCAAAAAGGCCTTTGTCTCCATTCAAAGTTCCCTGTCAACTTGGAACTGTTTCCTGGTCAGTGACCAAAAAGTAGCAAAAAAAACTGACTCCTCCTTGTAAGTGCGAATTATCCATTGATTCCCATGAGGATGAAAAACCTCAACGGATCTATGATAGGTGCGGCCGTCAAATCCACCGATAGCGTATATCTTTCCGTTGAGAACTTCCACTTTTACCTGAAGGAGTATCTCTTCTAATTGGGTAGATTACAATGCGTTCCACACTAACTGCACTAACTAACATGAGATCGTCTCTTGCTCATGGCAGCTACTGAAATCCAATCATTTCTGCGAGGGTTGTATTTCTCGACTGATTTCAGTTGGCCGCCTTCTCCTTTTTCTCCGCCTAGTGCGTACAAGCAGTCACATATTACAGCAGACCCCAGGTGCTTTCGACGTGTAGACATCCTATGAACGAACTCCCATCTGCCAACTCGCGGATCTAATCTGAAAAGAAGGACATTGCGTTCACATTTCACGTCTATCCCTCGCTCATTTGCACTAAACTATGGGGTTGGCCACAGGTAATGACCTAGACTGAAATTTTGCCTAAAGATAAGATGGTTCAGGAAGAGCGTTCCAGACA